GTTACTTTCGTGATGTACCAATAGATCATCATCTTTACAATTTTGGCGCTCGTGTGGACTTCTTCATCTCCAGCGTGACAAGGACTGCGAGGTATACCATCTTTTCCAATTCTGTTCGACGACAGCTTGTCAATACCGGCAAGTATGTGTGCTATGACTTTTGGTCGGTAGATGCAGACGTTGCTGTGAGTGATGAAGCGAGCGCTCGCACATCGTCTGTTTGATCACACGGCCACGTCTTCATCAACGACTGCCATGTGTTCGCAACAGCAATAACAAACCGCGATCGTTATTATATTACTTATCAGCCGAATCTAGCCGTCTCGTCGTTCGTCTGCCACATCATCAGCTGTCGAATCAAACGCGATTGATGATGATGAAGTCTTTGAGCATAAGTACAGCTCATCCGAGATCTACAACTCTCATCTCGTTGACACTTCATCACCTACATTCCGCTTCCTGTTGCCTCGGAACTCTTGAACACAATGAGCCCTCGCAAGAGCATGAAGAAGGCTGAAGAACAGCACCCTCCAGCACCGTTTGCGGAGGACGATACCGCTTCCCGAGGTGACGACGAGTTTGAAGGCCTCAGTCAAGAGTTCATTGACGAGTGTCTGGCGGCCTACCACGCACTGGATAACCTGGACCTTAACGACGACGAAGAAGAGAATGTAAACGATGATTCTTCTGAAGACTCACAGTCCACTCCAGGTGAATACGGGCAAGAGCGGCGCGGCGAGATTGAATTTCTGCGTTCGAACGGTAACGAGCTTCCATCGCAATTCCGGGTAAACTACCATGCCGCTAATCAGCCACCGCAACATCCACCAGCTCCGCTCCAGCAGAACCCGGTTCCTGTAGCTCCACCTCCAACGTTCATCTTTCGAGATGCTGCAAACCCCGCTCCTATGCCTTTTGCAAATGTGCCGCAAGCTCTCCCTGCATGGCACTTTGATAGGGGAATCCAAGCAGCACTCCGACGATATCGTCGCTTTCATCGTCCAATTGGCGGCTTCCCCGAAGAACGCTACCTAAGGGCCTCGGCACCCGGAAGATACAGTCGGGGTGTTGAAGGCATGCCCCGCGATTTGTTTCCTCATAGGTCTGTGCCGATCATGCGTCGTCCCAACGGAAGACAGGACGAACGAATGCCGTTTGCGCCGCCACGCCCTTTGGACAGAGACATGGCTCCTCCCACAGAACGCGACCTCCTGTTTGAAATGTGGGCCGATGCCTTTGTTGAGAGTAGAAGGATGGAGCAGGATATGGCAGCATTCAGGGAAAGACTCCAGCGGCTGTACAAATTCTGCTACCGGTCTTAGCGTTGAGGTGGACGCACTTGGCTTGTGACTTTCGTTTTTCCAAGGATCTCGGTAGAATTTCTGGTTGTCATCTCGCTGGCGTAGCCGTTCGCTCATTTGTTTGTCGCTTTCCATGACGACGCGTTGTCATCTACGTGTGTACTTACTGTAGCAACACAACACTCTTTATCTGTAGTCTGTTAGCAACATCATTACTAAACCCCCATTCAGCGTTCATCGCGAGAAGTTCGCTACATAGCAGTCATGTCTTCCTACCAAAGGTCCAGCGCATCGCCCTACTATCTTCCGCTTGATCCTCAACCCTACCAGCAGCGATATGCGCGAAGCCCATCTTCGCGAGCGCCAATGCATAACCCCTACGATTGGATGTATATGAGCGACATCCTTCACAACGACATGCGAGCGATGATGGAGGACATGCGGTCAAGGAGAAAGCAGTGGCAAGAAGAGAGAGAGAAGATGCGCGAGACAATTCAGGGAGGCGGCGCGGGCCAATGCAGCGAGAGTATGATGTCAGACGTCCAATAATGAGGTCAACAATAGTTGCCTGGAGATGGGAAAGGCGTGTGGTTGGGAAGAATGCACGCGTTGCATTCTTTGTTGTGCAATTTCGCGATGAATATTGGGCTGCCACCAAGCGTTGCAGTGGTAGGCTGAGATTCTTGAATACCTAGCCGAGTTTAGCATGGAATACATGTGAAAACCCGGGACCAACCGCCAGTCAGATTTCGGTATCACAGATCTGAGGAAAGTTAGCTACCCCTCGAACGCTCAATATTAACCTGTGAAGTGGTGCACCAAGAGCTTACATAACGCATGTATCGACATGCCTTCATTTGAGGTCATCATTACATATAGGCTGTGGTGTCCTAGGGAAGGACAAGCCCAGTATATGCTATGCGCTTGCGGATAGTCAGGACATGGCTAGGAAGCGGGGATCGACGTATAAGCCATGAGTTCAGTAGTGAAGACAACAATCGCCAAGATAATCGAGGAGTGCTGAATAGTATAGCACATCCGGGATGACCATACATCGGTCGTACAAGCTATGGTTGTTCCACGCAGGTAGGAATGTCGGGAAATCGGCCCGTAGCAGCCAGCCGACTGAACAACGGTCAAGACAGGTGGCAAGAAATGCCTGTGAGGTAACTGGGAGTAACTTGACCTGTGTTCGTTGGTGAGAGGTCGAATTGATGACTGGCAATAGAACGTTATGATGAATGAAGCGGCAACATGGAATATCGGCGATGCTCTGGTGGCATCTGAGATCACAAATAGCGGACAATTCCTCCGTATGCCAAACACCAGCCCCTCTTTGGTAGCATGCAGATCGCTTAGATTCCCATCGTGAAACCCTTGGCTACGTAAGACAGACGAACAGGGCGTACAATGGTTTTCGTTATGATACCCCACGTCTTGGGTAACGACCGATCGGATATCCCGATAACGTTTGCGCACGTCAATGTCGGGTTTGCTATATCTCTGCCAGCATTGAAACAGGTCGCAGCCGATAAAAAGAGTGGTGAAAGCCGGCCACATTAGGTCTTGTATTCAGCATATGACTTCGAGTCTTTCCAGGCGCTACACAAACCCTGATGCATCACTGCACCTCGGTACAGTCGTCTGTCGAGGAGCGCGTTCGTTCTTGTGCGATCGACGCGGTCGCGTTGTTTGCTCAACTTTGTTAGCGATCGGCTAGACAAAAAGACTTGGCTGAGCTTTTGCCTCCGTCCAGAAGCTTGGGTGAATGAAGAATAGCTTCCGATGATAGACCGCTCCCGCAATGACAACACAATGGTCCTTATTGGTAGACCCTACGCAGTCTATCGTCGCCCTAGGTCAAGACTCACGATGCGAAACGTTTGAGTGGCACTGGTGACCCTGGAGCCAACTCAACTCCCGAATTGTGAACAGATCCTGCTTTTGGCACACGTGGACCATTCTATCTGCCTCAGGCGTCCTCTGTCTGTTGTATAAGATCTGCTCATGCTCATCCGTCAGTTTCTCACAAAATTCCGCACACCATTATTACCCTTACTTGTCGCTTGGTTTTGCGACACGCATCATCCCTGTCAATCGCGATAGCATTGAAGCAATGTACGAAATAGCTCCTTTCAAACGGCATAAACGACATGGCATGCGGGGATACCAATGGCCAGCTTTCGATCTGGGAGGTTTTGGCGGCCATGGTGGTATGGGTGGTCTAGGAGGGTATCCACCGTGGGATACCGGCTTTGATACTCCATACTACGATGTGCCGGGCTCTGTAGAACAGGCGACGCGATCACATGTTGAGGCCCAAACCGAGTTTGAGAAGGCGAAGGAAAAGTACGAGGAAGCCAAGAAGAAGTTCGAGGAATGTGAGAAGAAAGGTAAGTAACCTCTACGCATCCATGTGAGACATACGCTGACTTTGATCGTGTGCCAGTGGAGAAAGCCGAGCAAATGCTGAATTTGGCGAAGCATCGTGCTGGAGGTTGGTGGAATTGATGCAGTCATTATTGAGTGGCTGCTGGCAGCACAACGTGGGTGGGGGCGAGGCAAGGCCCTGGTGTCTCAAGCTCCGGGGATAGACGATCCGTGTAACTTTGATTTCGCGTTATTCCGCTTTGTGGAGATCTTGGTTTTAGCCTGTAAGGAGCTGCAAATGCATCGTCGGCCAGGAAGAGATGAATGCATGCGCCGTAAGCTAAGTGAACTTGAGCTAGAGGCGAATGAAGGCGCCCCAGCCCTACACGTATGTGTGATTACATCATGCAGTGTGTTGTATAGAGACCGGTGGCCACACGATACTAGCTAAGGTATACGCTATGGCGTCTCCGTTTGGCGCGGCCGATCGTGGTGTGGGTGCCATCGTAGCAGGTATGTATTACGTTTGGACATCGCTTTCGTTTCGTTGTTCGTCGTTCGTCATCTGGCTGATACTCTGTGTTGGTCAAATCCAAATCTTGGACATATAATTGCTGCGTCTGGGCCTCCAGTATGAGTGCAACCTGGGCAGTTATCGCACCAAAGCGCCACGTTACCTCTCAACATGACCGCTCATGCTGCTTCAACTGCTCGCGAAGCTCAGGCTTCCAAGGCCACAGGTGTACCTCATGCACGACCCGCTCACGAAGAAGTCGAGTATGATTCTGAAGCTGAAACTTTGGTCGGGAGTGAGTCTGATGATGACGGTGATGCTCGTCCAGCGCCGGCCAACAATCAGCCTGCAGCTCGTCACGAAGCTGCCCGGCGGCTTCCAGCTAACGAGCCCTGCACGTCTTCTCAGGGCGACATAAACGCAGCGGTCTGCGCGCAAAAGGCGAAAGAGATGGAGAACACGGTCCAACGGTCCGAGTCGCTCGTTGGAGGCGCTGGGCGGAAGGCATGATGAGGGAATTCCTGGCCAGCGTAGATTGGCGGTACGAGCGTGATCGAATGTCGATTAAGAACTTCACGCGACAAAAATTGCGGTGCGAAGCTGGCAAGGATGAGAGCGAAAGATGGTGAGCTTCAGTGTGACCGCGAAGACGCGTGCGCGTCGAGTATCTCGCGCTAGTATGTTAGCAGCTTAGATCAACCACGCCGCTTTGTGATTCTGTCGTCTATCCCCGCGCGATCGCGTAACATCTCCTACCTCCCTGTGCTTCACCATCATTTCAACGTGTTACTTGTCGTATAGGACCTTGTTCCATCATGGAGTCGGCTCCGAGGCCACCCTCTCCGCCTACCTTTAGATCCCGGGTTAAGCGGTATACGGAAGACACCCGGAACGTAGCGGCATGGCTTCGCCAGACCGCTTTGAACTGCGGATATGCCGCCAGCACCGCATCACCAAGCGTAGAATCTTGTAACGGAAAGAAAGCCGAATATCTCATCAAGACGTCTGAGTTCATTCCCATGGCTGAGGCCATCGCGGCGCACAAACCCCAACCTACGATCCCGGAAGATGTGTTAGCCACAATTTCCCGAGCTATCAGACTACGCCGCAGAGAGACCCGATACGTTATGTCGTTTGGCGCTAAAAGTAAACGAAGTCAACTCGAAGACAGCACGCATACCCATTTCACAGAGAGGATTCTGGGCAAGGTTCGAGACGTACTGCGACCAACCGGTCAGCCTTCTGCACTCGGACTCCAGACAGATACCATACCGTCACTCAGCGACAGGCTTGCTTCTTTGTCGACATCTGACACTGACGAAGCCGACACTATTGGTGAAGAGTCCTTCAGCAACCTTACACCCGTACACATCGACTTTGATGATATAGAAGTTGAGGACGAGTTCTTCTTGGCCATCGACGTGTTTCTGGAAGACTTGTTCTTCGTTCGTCAATATGTACAGCACATTTGGGCTACATACAAGGCATCCGCACTGGAAAACAACGTTTGTTCATTATTTACGAATACAGCGATAGACGTCGTCCGTCTAGCTGAGAAGGAATTGGATCAACTAGTCAAGCGGCCTAAACGATTTCCTGCTGATATCTTCCCTGTATGGACGCTGCCGTCATTGTTGTTACACAAGCGAACTCCTGCGCTGCAAAAATTTACACATGAGGAAATTGCAGCTCTGACACCAATCAAGCTGTTTCCCACCGATACTGAGGACCAGAGCGACTTCGCATTCTTTTCGGTCTTAACAGGGCTCAAATGGTATCTTTTTGCTCCTACTCACCAAGAAGGTTTCCATCAACAAGACCCTGCATGGTTCAAGCAACCCGGTGAGAAGTGGCACCCGCATCTGTCAAGGGTTGTCGAGATGTGCCACATGATGCAGTGGCAAGCCTCGGCGAAGTTGTTCCAAGTATCGCAAGGCAAATTCGACACGATTGCCGAAGATGAGATCTCAAGAGCGGTTCGCCACATGGTCAAACACAAAGAGATTCCAATTTGGGTGCAATTTGCTGCCCAGACTTATATCGACATACAAGATGTGCTAGGAGATCGTCTAGATACACCGTTGAAAGAACTTCAGATATACCTACAGACTTTCAACCGAACCCTGGCCAACTTTCTGAGTGGCAACTCCCAGTTGGACAAGTATGAAAAGAACACCAGGTTTCGAACGGGATACCTCAAGATTATCGATGACCTGAAACGGAAGCAATCTATACTTGAGGCGTGGTTTACAAAGGATCTATTCACCCTGAGTCTGAGAGGAAGCCCACATCCATATCTGTCGAAATTCAAGAAGGAGGACCACGTACTACTACGTCGACATCCACTAGGTTGCGGGGTACTCCAGTACAACATGTTCGAGGATTTGCATGAGTATGGTCTTCAGCTTGAGTTGGCTACGGACTGTATCCGACCTATGATATACCTCTATGCAGCCACTCGGTTGCTATGTAAAGATTCTCCGACATGGCCTGACATGGAATTACTCATTCAGCGTCAGGACCCTCAGCGGCTGTTCTATGGCAATGAAAGGCCAACGGACTATCGAACGCTCTTCACCTGCTTCAAACAGGCGACTGTCATGCCCCTCACATCGCTACATATCACAGATCCTAGTATGTTGACCGACGTGTTCATGGACCGCTTCGACCATCAAGTGAGCGATAACAAAGAAATCGATTCTGTAGTATCCAGGTGGGCGACACTGATGAGGAATGAAGAAGGCATGAAGCATCTCCTTCGGCAAAGAAATGTCGATCCATCGGAATACTCTACTGCTTTACGATCACTACAGGAGCAAGCCAAGAACAACAAACCAGATGGGATCCTCACTCGATTGCTCCCGTGTCTAGAGGCGGATGCTATCGATTTGCACTTTGACTGGCTGTCTCTGCACAACACATGCGCTCTTCTATGGCTGAGAATGTACTCTAAGCTCAGCAGTCACAAAGGCTCTCTGACATTTGATCCGGACAAGTATCGGATGACTCCTGAATCGCGAGTGAAACTTGTTGAGCAGATACTTCTCGAGACCGTGGAAGCATACAATGCCACACAGAACATGGAGCTTAAGGACGCCTGGCAGGCCTTCGGGGCCGGCATTCGAACCGCCGCTTCCACGTTGCAGGAGACGATAAAAGCGCCTTCGGTCTCCACGATGTATGGTCAAATCATGGGCGGCGATTTTTGTATTGCTTCGACGATGGGGCAGACGTCTCAACAAGGTGTACACTATCCAGGCATCTTCTACAAACAGCCCGGGCCGATGAATGTCAGCAACTTGTACCGTGGCTGGGATAAAAAGATACAGAAAAGTCTTCACTCGACTACATGCGCCGAATTCTCGGATGCGAAGCACAAAAATGTTGTGGCGCAGGCAGAGGATGAGCGTCGAAGGCAACGGGAAATCTTGATAGAGCTGCTGCTAGAGCAAGAGACACTTGAGCAAAAGAAGCATGGGCAAAGTTCGAAGGCGCAGAAAGCCGCAAAGAAGTCGAAGAACCAAAAGAAGAAGGGTAAAGGCACGACCTTTTGATGGAAGGTCTCTAAGATAGGCTATAGGGACGACGACCTAATTTTCTAGCTTCATTAAATAACCTGTATGAGGAATCTCCAAGGATACATCGTCGCTAATTTTGAGCCTCTATACGCCAAGAGTCGAACCTCTAAGGTATCCACGATGCTTTTTGCTTGTAGAAGCTCAAACCTAGCGACAATGCATTCTTCAAATAGCTGTTTTGTCTAGCGTACAACTCAATCAAAACCATTGTCTTCGTCAATGCCATGTCTTTACACTATATCACCCTGCTCATCTCCTCCCATTTACCGCGTACCCTTTCTTTCTCTGTCTACGGAGCAGCTTGTTACTCTAGTATATGTCCTTTATGATCGTAAGCCCTACTTTCTAGGGTAAAGTAAAGAAAGAACAAGCTTGCTAGTGTATGGCAATGTTCAGGAGTTTCAAAAAATACTCATCTTCAGCATCGACGGACGCTGGGATTAGTGAATCGCCATTCTGAACCATGCTATAATTCTCTCTCCCATCGGCGATAACCTCATCGTGATGCGCAACCGTCGTTCTGAGCTTTAGGAATTTTAAGGTCGGTTGGCGGCCCCGGGAAGAGCACACGCCGATGACGTCAACGCCGTTCTGTCTTGGCAAGATTAGCTTCACGCGTCGCGGCGCGTCCTCCAGCCCAACACCTTATGCATACAATCTCATCTCCTGGTCCTGTTATCGCTTATGCGCAAACTCCAACCCGATCTCGGACTCTTAACATTTCGGCCGACTTTAACCTCACGGTCGATCTCCGTCGCGTCGCGTAGCCCGTATTCGGCCGCCTTTCTCGAGAGAGTATCATCACATTTTTCCGACATGCGGGCTCTACGCATTCGACAACCGCTGTTCAATATTATACATCGCCCTTAGGAGATATCAATCGTCTCAACATATTGGCTCGTAGGGGAATTGAGGCCTCGTTCGTGGCCATGTAGCGCTCAACTTGCGCTGCCCATTGTGGATATCGATCTATCCATGGATCCTTCGGGTCTTCGTCATGTCAAGGCCGCAGCTGTATCTTTCATGTTACCGGATCTTCAACATTTAACCATGAGATCGTGCCTCCACACAGCCGACTCACACTTCTGACTGTCTAAAGACGTTATGCCGATCGCTGGCGCCCGATATGCCGAAAGACACTCGGAGTTTTGGACGAACGCCGAAGTCGAGGCGTGCCATAACAAGTTCTCCTCTTTACCTAACCGATAGTTCAACCACCACTCATTCCTTCGGCGGTACTAGTGCCTCGATCTTGGCATCCGTCGTTGCTCCCAATGACAGAAGCGGGGGACGGCTTGGCACATGCAAAGACACTATCTCGCAGCGATAAGATACACCACAGCATGTAACCCCACCTTTCCGCGAGGTGGGTTAAAGACGCATCAAGGCTACGACTTCCTATACAGCAATAGTCTCATGCGTCGCGGATACGAAGCGTTCCTAATGTTACGGTCGTACTCCCATAAGGTTCGGATGTTTCAACCAGGTAAAATACTGGAAAGAACCCTGTAGATATTGGATAGCAGCAACATATGTGCTCTGTTGGTTGCGAACAAGATGATAACAGATACCAGACATAGAGTCAAGTTCGAGACAGAGTGTACGAAGATATGGACTGCAAGGCGCGGTGATGTCCGTGCTGCGCCCTTCCCCGGAAGTGGTCAGGCAGAGTGGAGACTGTTCCTTGCAGGCCCTTACGACCTCTGATTCTTCTTCTTATCGTTATTCGAGCCTGAGATACCATCTTTCCTCGTTGTCATCGTCGCAAGTCACCCGAGCCTTATCTGGGACCGCAGCGCTCGCGACGATGTATAAAGAAGACTAGAAGCGTCGGGAACTGTCCACAGCATCCCTTGCTGATACCGTCAATCAATATGCGTTGCTCGGCTCTGATCTCGACTGTTCTTTTCGGTATAGCGAGCTCTTCCACTATTCCTTTCCTTGGGTATGATAGAAGAGTAGCGCGAGACTACTTTGACAAACGCACCGACAATGGAACAGCACACTCTTGCTTGACTGAGGCTGCTACCACAACAGTAGCGCCAAAGGCTAATCCATGGGCTCCTTTGACACCAGATGAGAATCTCGCTGTCTGGACAATGCTCCATTCGCCATCCTCCGGTCTCAATCTTACTGATCCTACGAAAGCTGTGCTTACGGACAACTACGTGTACGTTATGCTCGAAGTGTTGTTTGAGGAGAAGAAAACGCGGCTGACAGGTACTAGATTCTGGCTTGATGCATTGCACACTAATAAGACAGATGTCCTGAAGTACATGGACGAGGGTGCAGCAATGCCCGCCAAATACGCCCGAGCCATCATCTTCCAAGGTGGGAAAGCTGAGCCAGACTCCCAAGAGTACATGATTGGTCCGCTTCCTGTATCTGCAGAAACCACCATCGAGAAGCTGGATTACATCTACAACGGCGGTGCCGGTGGTTCAGTGCCGTATAACGCCAGATACTTCGACGGTCCAAGGACGACAGCAACCGAGCCGCTCATCACATCCATCATGTCGAACATCTCAGACATTACAGCAGCTCTTTTCCAAGGAGGTGTTTACTTCGGATCGGCCGACGAAAGAACCAATCTCTCTTCGACGACTGGCACGCCTATCTCTTTCGATGGCTCTAGCGCTTTTCGTAACATCATGTTCCGCTTTCCAGGTCCCGCAACATACATGACACCGCTGGACTTTTATCTCCTAATCGACTGTAGCGGCACTGATCCGTCTCTCTATTCACTGAAAGGATTCGTCACAAATGAAAAGTTCTACCCTACCATCGCAGACCTAAGGAGTGCATTCGAATCTGGCGATCTTGCCATGGAGTTCGACCAGACTCTCGACGCAAGTTGGGCGCTAGTCGACTACAAGCCCGAGCTAGGCGTGCGAGATCTGGAGGAGCGGCTCGCGCCGAGCACTCTCGAAATTGGAGGCAAGCGATACAAGCTTGACAAAGAGAACCAGTATGTTGAGTATATGGGTTGGTCGTTTTACATGTCATTCTCGAGGACGCTTGGCATCATGTTCTATGACATCAAGTTCAAAGGTGAACGTATTCTTTACGAGTTGTCGATGCAAGAGGCTACTGCGCAATACGGTAAATATCCCATCTGTCTCTTACTGGACAAGAGCTAATTACTACAAGGTGGCAATCAACCGAAGGCTGCCAATACAGTATACCACGATACCTACTATCAGCTTGGTACTGAGATGGGCAGCTTGGTAGAAGGCTTCGACTGCCCGTGGGGATCGACGTTCTGGAATATCACCTACCCATCTTACAACAAAACGGCAGTCAACAAAAACGCAATCTGCATTTTCGAAACCGACATGAACTTCCCGCTCTCACGTCATCGCACGGGCGCATCCAACGAATATGGTTTCAGCAATCTCGGTAGCGTCAAGGGCGCTGGACTAATTGTCCGCGCAATCGCCACAGTTGGCAACTATGACTACATGTTTGACTACTCCTTCCACATAGACGGCTCGCTAGAAGTCATTGTACGAGCATCTGGCTATCTCCAATCTAGCTTCTACTATCCGGCGCAAGCAAAATTCGGACCGAGAATCCAACAAGCCACCCAAGGCTCACTTCACGATCACATTGTTACGTACAAGGCAGACTTCGACATCGTCGGTGCGGCCAACTCGCTTCAAGTTTCGGAGTTGGTAGTTGTGAACCAAACCCAACCGTGGTTCCCTGAGCTTGGCGAATTTGAACAGATGGAGATGAACATTACATACATGGCCGAAGAGCAACAATTTAACTGGGCACCTAACAACCAGGCTATGTATGTCGTATTGAACCCGAACGCTACCAATGCCTGGGGTGAGAAACGCGGCTATCGCCTCGTACCCGGCCGTTCCGATATTCACCTCTCAACCCTCAACTCTCCATGGTCACGCAAGAACTCCGAATTCGCCAAATCACATCTAGCCGTTACGAGGCAGCACGACAACGAGCCATTTGCCAATAGCGTTCAGAACATCAATCTCCCCTTCACACCGCAGCAAGACTTCAGCAAATTCTTTGACGGCGAATCAATCGAAGGCGAAGATCTTGTCATTTGGTTCAACCTTGGCATGCATCACTACACTAGGAGCGAAGATGTACCTGTGACCTTGTATACGGAGGCTTATTCCAGTATTGTATTCGCTCCGCAAAACTTCTTCGACAGGGCGCAGGATGGCGATCTACTTAATCGCAGGTGGATTGAGGTCGACGAGAATGGAAACATGACATTTGAGACCTATGGTGTGGGGCTAGATGTTTGCCCAGTCGTTTTGAACGAGCCTACAGCACTACTAGGTGGTGGTGGTGAGCTGTAGCAAGCAACAATCGGGCGAACCTAGACACACCAAAGTATTGACACTGTCAATTGACAACGTGTCGCGATCTGGTGATAGTCACCGCTTCACTCTGTCATACGTGACATTTCATCACGCCAGCATTCTCTTCATCGAAAGTGATTGTTCGTAACTATGCAATACGTAGACACACAATGGACAAGACCAGACTTGACGCCATAGAAGTGGTATATGTTGTTTTCTTCTCTTGCTACAACACCACACCTCTTTCGTCCATAATGCGCCTTCCGATTGCCACCACTATCGCCGCTGCAGGCTTTCTCGTTGCCTCGCAGTCAGGTTCTTCAAACCGCGCAACAAACGCCGTGTCGTCGCCAGCCTCTACCGCGACTCTAGTGGCTCGCCAAGATGATACAAAGCCGCCACCCTTTGTTACGTCCATCACCTTCCTTACCTCGATAGCATTCGTAACTGCCGAGCCGTCTAATACGGTTATTGTGCCATCACGTAGTCCAGACACCTCCTCGGAGCCGCCACCACCGCCACCAGCCCCGTCAAGTACGACGGAAACGTCGACAAGTACCGAACGACCGTCTACAACGACCAGTGCTACTACTACCACTTCTCCAACTTCTACTGAGACTAGAACAAGGTCCACAGAAA